TGGTCACTTCATTCATCCTTGATGGTTCCGCTCACAGATGGTTTCCGGGGGCCGGTCGCACGGATCAGCTGAAATAATCTTCAAGTATTCCCGGCTTTCTGGGTCTCTACCATCTTCCTAGCTTTTTGTGTCCATTACACTTCACGGTCGGCTCACACGCCAACTTTCACTTGACGTCCGGTAATCCCTCAGGCCAGGTTATGTTCGGGACAAGTGTGGGATATTTCTCCGAGGCTTAAGAAGTTCCACTGTTCGGTCTGATTTTCAATGCTTGGTTAGGTCTTATGTCACCGTGCCATAAGCACAACTCCCAGCACTGTGCAAAGGGGTAGCGATCTCGTCCCAGTATGAATTCACATCTGATGGTAAAACATTTGAAAGAGGCTGTAGAAGACGATTCTGGTAAATTCGTCCAATTCGGGCAATTTTTCCGCACCTTACGCGGCTATGGAAAATGAAGAGAGGAGTGACTCCGGACAAGGCCTGGTCGGAATCCACAAGTTTGTTCCAAAACGACAGGTAATCAGCTATTGATCCACGCCATCAGTAACCGATGGTGATGTGATCATTTCAAGTTTGCAGCCAGCAAGCTGTTGGATGGCACCATTGGTCAGAGGGTTTCGGCTGTTCCGGAGGTTAGTGAACGCCCAGTCAGGTAGACTAAGCATTGCTGAGACCCGATTGGGTGGTCATCTTTGTTTGGACACGAGATGCACGGACAACGGAGACCGCTTGTTTCAGATGTGTGTCGATCACAGATTTTTTCTTTGCAGTACGAATTTCCGGAACAGTAAAATCGCTTGACAACGTGGTGCCCACCAACAAACCAGCGCCGAATTCAAATAGACCACATCGCCGTCAGTTATTGGTGGAGGGTCGGTCACGCCCACCGCTCCTTCTGGAACACCAGCGTGGACCCCGACCATGCACTTGTAGGCTGATGTTTTCCATTGTGCTTTTCAAGTGTACACAAAACGCGCACACCTCGCTTAGCCATTGAGAAGCTAGTGGACTCATAAGTCAAACGAAACTATCAGAACCAGCTCCTTGAATACCTACCAGACAGTACAGTGTCGGATATAAACGGCCACCAGGAAAAGATATCCAAAGCGCTACTCAAAGCCGGAACGTCTGTTTGCGGTACAACCCAGCGAACCTCATCCAAGCATAGGATCTCTGATAGGTCCGTGTCTTTGCTAGAGACCCGGCGACAGATTCCACCTGGTCGCCACTACAATTCCACCCGGCGCATCATCCGACTCCAGGTGAAAATGAGTGTCCGCGCGGATCGAGAAACTTGGTGGACCCGAAATGCCGAAGAAACGGAAGAGATGAAAAATGCTGGAAACATCCGCAGGCTGTTCCACTTTATTCGTTCGACTGGTCGTCTAAAACCTCTTGTCAGCGAAATAACCGGAGGCCAGAATGACTCACTGATATACAGCAAAGCAGAATGTTTGGACTGCTGGGCACAGTATTTCGAACAGCAATTCAACTGGCCACCAGCTACTTCCAATTCAGGATTCCGGATCGTAACTATGGAGCCTCCTTTAGTCTCAGAAGTTTCCGAGTGTATTTCTTTACTCAAGCGTCATGCTGCTGGTCCTGGCGACCTTCCGACTGCTCTTTTCAAGGATGGCGGTGGACTCCTCAGCCAGTGCCTGTCTACCCTATTTGGGTCCATCTGAGAGGAGGGGACCATCCCAGACAACTGGGGTGAGTCGACAGTGGTGCCCATTTTCAAAAGGGGTACTCGCAGTGAATGTCGTAACCACAGAGGTGTTAGTTTGACGCCTGTTGTTTGAAGGTTTCTGGCGGCACTGATGCTTTGTCGTATTACGGTGGCACGTGAAGCCTTGACTCGTGCGAATCAAGCGGGATTTCGACCGGGTAGAGGCTATGTTGACTACATCTCCACACTCCGTCAGGTGTAAGAGCAACGCCACATATACAGACGATTCACAATCTTGGTATTCCTTGACTTCAAGAGTGCGTTCGATTCTGTCGATCGGTCAGTGCTATTAACTACACTTGTCCAACAGGGTATGGCTCAGGAGCTTGTAAACATACTCCGATCTCCATTTTCACATATTCTGGGCAGGTGAAAGTGCCAGGCAAGGATGTCCGCCCTCTCCATTCTTGTCCAATGAGATGAACATAAGACGGCATTCAAAACCCCGGTGTTCAAATGGCTGCTGGTGAGAGCCTTGTCGATCTGCAGTACGCAAATGATATAGCCCTCATCTTTGAAGACCCAAAGCGAAGCATAAACCCTGCCGAATAGACTGACCACCATCATACCATCTTTTGGCATGCGTCTTGCACCTTCAAAATGCAGTCATACTTCAGAACGTGCCATATCTAAACATATCCCTTTCAATTTAGGGAGAATCACTGGAGACTGTGGAAAGCTTTACATACCTCGGTAGTTGTATTAGCTCTGACGGAGGTGTCTGATGAAATCAGTGCAAGAATATCAAAGGCTCGAATCACATTTGCTAATTTGCATCACCTGTGGCGTCAAAAAGGCATCTCACTAGGTTTTAAGGGTCGTGTTTACCAGGCTACAGTAAGGTTGTTTTTTTTTATGGGTGCAAGACATGGCCTCTGTGGACAGATGATGTGAGGCGTCTTCACTTTTATGACCACCGATGCCTCAGAAGCGCGGAGGGTTTTGGATGGCGTCAGCGTGTTGGTAACGAGATGATGAGAAAACAGGTATTTGGTTGTGCTGCAGGTACTTCAATCCGGGAAAACATCCAGCACCGCCGACTACGATGGCTTGGTCATGTACTATATATGCGGGAACACCGTCTACCGAGACCGTGCCTCCTTCAGGATGGCGCGAACCGCAAGGTGGACAGCGCATGACTTGATAGAAAGGTGTGGTAAAGTTTGGGGTGTTGTTGGCGTTGGATGCCTTTCAGGATGGCGTCCCCGTGACCCCGCCTCTGCTTGACTGGAGACGTTGCAAGAAATGGCAGCTAATCGGTGTCAGTGACATTCGTGCTGGCAGTTTCTTTCCAGATTGCCTGATTGAGCGGCTGGATCTGTAGGCACCTCAGAATGCTTGACATAGGTCAGCACTAGGTCCGCTCCCTCACTCATTTTTTCTTTTCACTCTGGGGCCTTTAATATAGGATAAAATAAAGTGGATAATCGTTCAGCTGTTGCACACTTTCAGTGCCGAACTGCCGTGCCACCAGAAGGAAGCTCGAGGGCTGGGATACTGCCAGGTCACCCAAGCCTAGACAGTGGAGGTCGAAAGGCAGAGGTCGGGTTCGAACCAGGGAACTCC